GTTGATGAGATAGTCCTGTTCGTAAACAATGCAGTCGTCGAATTTCAACTCGATGTTGAAGCCCAGGGAAGGTTCAACCTGCTCGAAGGCTTCTTGGAGTGTGCAGAGAGGGTCATCTTTTTCAACATCCCATCTTACTATTTTACCATCTTTGGTTTTCCTCAACAAAGTTTTTCCTTCCTTCCCTGCCTCTCTTTGTGGGCCGTAGCAAAGAAACTCCGACAGACACAGTTCTGTTACTCTCCTCTCAAACACAGTCCCCTGTTGCAAAATCAAAACCGACCAAAACATTATCCAAGTTTAAAATTTCTACGTACGTAAGTAATCAGAAAAGGAAAATTCAATAATAAGAGAAGGGGTGGAAAAATAAAGCTTACATTTTCTTCGGAGAGGATGAAGTTGTCGTGGAAAATGACTGGGCAGTCATCTTTGGTTACCTACAAAAAGCCACCACATTGGGTTTCACTTTCCTGTTTCATTTTTCCTCGTTTTTTTTTTGGGGTTTCTTTTCTTCTGTTTTTTTTTTTCTTTTCCTCTTTTTCTTTTAGCTTCATTCACCTCCATTCTTGTAATTTCAATCCAAATTCCAAAATATTAAGGAAGGAAAAACAAATGCAAAGAAAAGGAGATATAATCAGTACCATTTCAAACTCAAAAGAAAAGTTTCGGGCAGACAAATCCCACACAAATACAAACGATAGAAAAAACAGTAACTTGAAACGGAGGACTCGAAGAGCTTAACCCCCTTCAACTCGGAAAACCAAACAAATCCACCGGAAAAGAGGAAAAAAAGAAGAAGTTGAATTTACAGAAATACCCTCAAACAGGGGCGGGTTTTACTGCGGACTCGATCAAATTCATTCTCATTCTCATGCGCATACCGACACCAACAACGCGTATGCGGCGACAGACAGCTAAAACGGCGGAATTCAAGTTTCGACAATTTGCATGCGTAAAAATAAATAAATAACATATTAACAAGTGAAAAACAGAAAGAACCCACCGAAAAATCCAGAGACACAGGGGCATTGTTGGGTTGAGTTCATTGAATTGAATTGGGAAACAGAGAGAAACAGAGGAAATAATATAACAAGCAAGGAAGCTCTCTCACCTGAACATCAAATTCGACGAAATCAATGGGGAAGTTGGCGGCTGAGTTGAAGGACGCGATGGAGTTCTCTTTAATGGCTCTCATTCTCCTATCCGACGACTGTAACGCGTTCATACCATTCCCTCTGTGTCCTATCACCAGAAACTTGGGTATCCTTGATGCCACCCGACCCATTTCCACTCCTATAAAATAACACCATGTTCAAAAAGTAAATCCTGTTAATATCTCTAAAATACACAACAATTGAAACAAATTAATAAAGATTAGTAATTGAACACGTAGATGTATTATGTACCTTTGGAGAAGCGGGTGGAGTAGAGCGCCAGAGAGGCATTTTCCGGCACCTGGTCGAGGTTGGGGACGTCGGAGACAAGGACGGCCTTGAGAGCCATATATATATATATTTTTTAATTTGTTTAAAGACGGGGAAATTAAAAGGGACGGGGCGACGCAACAAAGTATTGTGAAGCTTTGTAGATTTGAAGCTAGAGTATGGAGGAAGGGGGGGGTATTTATATTTATTTAGGAGTGAAAAGGAGGACCGACGCGAGCCAAGCCAAACGGAACGGGATCTCTCTTCAGAATATTCCCTCCCCTCCGCTTATACTCTGGATATTCCATTATTCTTCCCCTCTCAACACAATATTTTTTTTTGTTGGACCCTCTCAACACCGTTAACCTCATTAATATTCCTTTTTCTTTCCCACCAAACCAATCAAAAAAAACAGCAAATATACACGTGTTATTGATCTTATGGTATGCCTTTGTAATAAAAGCTTTTTCATTTTTACATTTCGATCCGGACAACTATTGTAATTTTCTTTGTCGGAAACGCATTATAACTAGCTTGGCACAACAATAACGTGTTTTCCACGTGTGACGAAAAAGAAAAAAATATTATTAGTGGGCGCCACCTGGCACGTGCGTGCGGTGGGAAGGTTAGGTCTGGACTCTGGAAGATGGACGAAATATATTGTTTTGTTGGGAGCTTTTCTGCTTAAGATTTTTTAATCTCAGCCATCTATTAAATATGTTATGAATTTAATAAGCATTGTTGCATGCGATCCAACGGTTAAGACTAAAAATCATAAACCAATCCGAAGAAAACTATATATATATATATATTTTTTTTTTTTGGTGAAGAACCAATACTGTTTCGGAAAAACTTAAAAATATACAATTCGTGTCAGCGCCAAGTATGATCGGATAAGTTAAGATAAGGTCCGTGTCACCGCGTGGCGTGGTCCGAAAGTGTCGGGTCTTTGACAATGCCGGCACCGGCACCGGCACCGGCACGTGAGTTGTTTTTTTCTTCTCTTCTTCCGCTAACGTTTTCTTAACAGTCAAAGACTCAAAAGTCCCCCGGTCGTTTCTTTGTTGTTTTGTTTTTCGGTTACATACTTGGGTATAATGAGGTAGAAGCTCTTCGACCAATTAAAAGTAGAAAAAAAGAAAAAAAGAGGTAGAAGCTGCATGTGTGTGCAAATGGCAATGCAAGAATGATGATCGACCACTAAAAGATAGAAAATAATAAGAAATGGATAAGGGGTGGGGAGATGATGTGTAACCGCGGTAGGCTTATCTGTCTGGATCTCTGTTATAATAAAAATATGACCTCAATGATCCACTCCATAGTTGGTGTTGGTGTTGGTGCCAGGCTGCCAGCAGCATCGATCTTCACTTGTTTTCGTTTTCTTGTCTGTTTTGCCACTCAACGCTTTCTGGTTTGATGATTTCTGTGACAAATAGCTCATTGGGAATTTCGACCCGAAAACAAAAGAATTAGTTTAGTTGGGGATGGGGAACTTTTACTTTTACTCTTACAAGGAGGAGGACATTGTCAATTTCCAATCCACGATTAACAAATTAATAGTATATTAAGTTGTAACAGCTCCAATTAGAATGAATATAATGTTGCTCAACTAAACCAGACGATTCCATTTCCATCCTTGTCTGCACAAAATATTCTGGCTAGCGCTAGCTGGGGCAGATGGAAAACGGTATGTGAACTAACAAAATATATGAAAACAAATCTTGAGAGATAGGAAAATCGAACCTAGGAGTTCGGGTGTAATATTAAATACTCTTTTAACTCATTGTATAAAAAAACTGAAAAACAAATTTAAAAAAAAGGAAAAATTAATGGAGAAGGGAAAGGAAATAATAAAGGTGCATGCTCATCTGCTTTGAGTTTTAGGGCTAACCAATAATCGTGGAGTGTGGATGGATGGTGACTAAATATAGAAAGGTGAGTTGGTTACCACTGTTCCAAACATTGAGCTTGGCTTTTGTCACCAAAGCTAAAGCAAAGCACAGAGAATCTCGTGCCATTCGCATCAGGAGAGAAAGAGTAAGAGAGAGAAAAGCAGTGGCCTCGCTGGATTGATGTTGCCAATTTCTTTCTCTTCTCATACGATGTACGTATAATACACAGAGGTTAATTTTTCTGCACAATTCAATATCGTACACTCGATTTCATTAAGGAACCCATGCAATTCCAATATGACGCTTTATCTTTCCAAGATTCATGCTCTAGACACTATCTTATCAGCCAGCCTAGTCAATTACCCCATTTTGTTCATCGTGATGAATCAGATTCTAACTCATGTAGGAGAAATTGTGGGAAACTTCCACCTTTTCACGCCCAATAAAACACACAGCCCATTTTCATGAATTGTTTTTGCATGTTCGGGGTACAATCCAAGATATAGAGGAGGCGTGTTTGAACTCTCCAACTAAATGCACTGCTTTTAAAAAATAAAATAAAAATAAAAATATTTCCACATATTCTATGTATATTGGATGGTACACCAAGTTGACGTACTCATAAACATGCAAAAATTACTCCGTTTTCAGCTGTTTGTATACGACTACAAACTTTTTTTATATCTCTCATCATCGGCCTAGTCATGAAATGAGATAAGAAACACACATGATTTAATGATTATATGAAAAGTCATGTCCAAAAAAAAGTCCCTAGATTCTTCAAAACAGAAAGAAGAAGAAAAAAGCGGAAGTCGCTAGATTATTGGAGCATGGTGCAATATTCTTGCTTTCTATGCCTTGTAGGGGGAGTTGTTTCTTCATTGTTGTCGATTTTACTTTAATTTTGGGCTTGGAATTCCTTATGTTTTGGGTCGCCTGATAGCATCGGGCTATAATTATTTGGACAGAAGCTAACTAGCCCTACACGGCTTTAAGGTGTGAGTTCAATGAGCCCAATTTTGTGTTATCATCTGAATTGGGCTCGGCAGATGAGTTAAGCACGTAGCATTGGCAATTCTGGACAGAAAGGAAAGGAAGCCATCAAGCCTAAAAAGAGCCCAATCTTATTATGTTGACGGTTATTTCATGTCATGGTTGGTGCATCGTGCAGCTTTGTTCCTTCTTGTTGTCAGACCAAATGTCTTGTATGCCATTATTTGAGGTAAATAGGTTTAGGGTTCATCACATTCATTCGTAGAGTTAACAAGTGGGGAGGGAAGGTGTTTGATTCGTACGTACCACTATTAAAGCTTTTCTGTGGAATCTTTCCAAGACCCCTAATAAATTCCAAGTGATTTAATTTACAGATATCTGATGTGATTATTCATGACCTAATTAACCCAACGGCCCCACCACCACCACACCGTTTTGTGACTAACCCAGAACTTCACCATTAAACTACTCATTTCATTTCTGATGATTTTTTTTCCAAAGTCAAAGCTAACTAAGACATGGTGATGGTGCCTGCCTTTTTGGCTGGCTGGCTGTAGAAAGAAACTAGAAAACACAAACAATTAGCTCATGATTTGAAAATGAGCCCCAATTGGGATGGTTGGGCTTCGCTTGCTAGCTAGCTAGTACCTTACGTTACCCTGCATGCCTGCACTGCACTGCACTGCACCTATATCAACACAACACAACGGCTACTTTCTTTCTCATTCATTCATTCAAAATATTATACAATAACCTCCTCCAACCAAGTATCAAAAGTCTCCCAATTGCTTCTCGCTAGCTATTAAATAAACAAAAGGAAGAAGATAAGATGAAGAAAAGCTGTCTGCCTATTATATCTCTCTTTCTGCCTATTATATCTCTCTTTCTCTGTCTTCCTTGAGAGATAGGAAGGAGAGCATTAATGGTGAAGACAGAAGCATTAAATATTTCTGAGGGTAAATTAATTGCTTGCATTAATCGCTACAAGTGTCTGTTGGCCCTCTTCAGGCTCCTTAATTGCTACCCTCATCTGCCTCCTAACTTCTCTCTCTCTCCCCTCTTATCCTCTGCAACCACTCTCCCATATCTCATTTATTGCTTTGCTACTCACTCTACGTCTCTACATCTCTCTCTCTCTCTCTCTGGGCAGTGGGAAGAAGCAGTAATTTAATACATGCCATGCCAAGGTGAAAAGTATGTGAGATTCCACCATGACACAAAAATCATGGGTTTCTGAGGCCACAAGCACAAGTTTAGTAAACATCCCATCCCATCCAAGTAAAAAGACAACTGTAATTATGGGTTCATTTCATTTAGGAGATTCAGATTATCTTACTGTCTTTTCCTCCTCCTAACTGTAGCTTGTTGAACTCAGAACCCAGCTGAGTTGAGCTTGACCCGGGCATTTTGAACTTTGAACTGGCTGATGAGGAGACCTCTGTTCCTGGTTGCATGGGCACTGAATTTGTAGAAGAAGAAGAAGCACTTAAGGCTGCCTGTGAAGTGTCTTTCATTGACATCATTCTTGAAGGGTTTGATTGTGGTGCTGGTGGTGCTGCACAAACTGGGATCACTGATCTGATTTGAACTGCAGGGGCAATCCTGTGCGGGCTGAAACCTCCAGTGTACATGGCTCTGTCCATCATGTGGCTACTTGTAGGCAATGCCTTCATTGGACCTAATGGAAATTGTCTATATGCAGAACTTGAATTTGAATTACTAGGACCCTCCTTTTCAATGGCCTTGTTGTTACTAATAATGATATCTGATTTTCCAGTACCAAGCCATTCTTCCTCATCCCTTTGGTGGTCTTCCAATGGAGGTGGAATAACTTGTGATCCCCTCCTCACATTAACTTGTAGTACTGGGATAGGCCTATAATTGGAATTGGATAATGTGTAGGAAGAGGAGTTGTCTTTGTTGAGCAGTGTAGTTGGTGGCAAAATCTTTGAGGCTGTTCTTGGTGGGGGTGGAGGAAGCAGAGATGCAAAGCTGTTTTGCTTCTCCTTTGAAACTTCTGGAACCAAATCTGTTAACAGATCTATCAGCCTCCAGTGTTGATTCTGTAGAGAGTTAGCAGCACTGGATGTGGAGGATAATGATGATGGAGATGATGATGTAGAGGCAATAGTATTGTCTCTGTGGAATTGGCCCCTGACCATTCTTCTCCTTGCTTGAATTTGATCTCTCCTCCTTATAAATTGTTTGCTATTGTGATCATCTTTGGGTCTAAAATTTGAGAGCACCCCTGTCACAACTGCCTGGTCCTGTTCTTCTGCTTCTTTAGCTGTCAATGGCCCCAACCCTGGCATTGCACAAAGATGTATACTTGATAAAGCAATTTCATTTTGCTAAAAAATACCAACTAAACCAAATTGTGAGAGAGAATGGGAAATGAGAAGATACTTCTTTTCAAGGCAGACCATGCTGCAATTGCAGCATTCTTCTCGGCTTGCTTCTTGGTTTTGGCTGCCTCACCTGTAAAACTCATGCCAGCAAGCTCTACAGTACAAGTGAAAACTGGGACATGGCCAGGACCTGATCTTACGGTGGTGTACACAGGGAGCTTCAGCCCGGCTCTGTGAGCGGTTTCTTGAAGGAGGTTTTTGTAAATTCCAGTTTCATCCTTGATCAGACACAATCCACAAAAAGGTATGAAATGAAGTAAGAAAACTTGCTAACTAATAATTGAAAAGTAACTGAAAGCAGAGAGGCTCTAGCTTATCTTGGTAGTTGGTTGGGAAAGAAACCAACTTACAAGAACTCTTGCAGTGAGAGACCTGGAAGGGCCTCTTGTGGAGAGTTTATTGAGGGCTACTTCTGCAGCTGCGTGCTCTGCTTGTCTCAATGTGGTGCAGTAGTTCGGGCTTTCAAAGATCTCACCGTTGAAGTTGACAGAAGCTTTGAATCTGGGTGCATGATCTGGTCCTTGTCTGACGCACGCATAGGAAGGCAGGTTGAAACAGCTTCTCTGTGCAAGCTCCTGCAGCTGGTTCTTATACATGATATCGCCTTTCACAAAATACATCCAAACAAACCATCAAATTCTACATGATGAAGCCATATTATATATATATGATTTCCATTATTCCATACAATCTTAAAAGCAAAACCCATCACTTGAAAATTAGCTGAGACTCAGAGACACTAATTATATATGTAATGTAAGGCTTAGGCAGGAGATATTATCAGCCCACCAAAAGAGTGAAGAAACTGAACTCAACCAACTGATAAAACTAAGACAGAATCAAGCAAGCAACTCACCAGATTCCTTAGTCCTCCTACATTGGCTTCTTGGGAGTCTTCTTTGTCTCTCAGGACAAAAGCATCTGATAGTAAGAGTGGGGGTGGAGAGGAGAAGAAAGAAAAGGAAGTAAATATTGAAGTTGAAGTTAGGTAACTACTAACTAGGTGGAGTGAAAATATCAAAGTGAAGCTTTAATTACTCCTCCTGGCTTCTCTTTATTATTTTATTCCGCTTAGGTTAGGTTCTTTTTTTCTCTTTTAGGGTTTTACCAACCGTTACTAACTCAAATGAAATCTTTTCCCATTACGGTAAGCTTTCTCGTGTAACGATGATTGAGGAGGAGCCAGAGCCAAAATCAGCTTTTTTTTGGGGGTGGGGGGTCGTAGACTTGTTATTGGATATAGGAGGGTCAAATTACATAAGAATCCTTGCAGGGATACAAATTTTACAAATCATTCTCCATCTGCTGCTTTTGTTTTTGGGGCGTGGGGGTTAATTTACCGACCACATTCTATACGTGCAATGACAGCGTTGAATTTGAAGTTTGACACCAACTTGGCTGGCTCTGTGCTGTGGTCAGTGATTATAGCTCTTTGCTGGCAAATGATATTCATGCTCTGCTCTTATACGCAGCTGGCCTCATTTTTCCACAACGAAGACTAGCTAGTAATAAATAAGTGTTTAGTTTACTTGCAACCTTTAAATTAAAGTAACTTGCGTCAAATTTAAATCTAGGGCGGCGTGAACACTAGCCAAACTTTAAAATCCTCCTGACCTAGAACCTTGTTTTAAAAATCAGAGCAAACGTGTGAAAAACCAAGTTTCTTCTCTCTTTTTTCCTTTGGTGCAGAAACTAAAAAATCTTCATTAAATTCATGAGAGAGAGAGAGAGAGAGAGAGAGAGAGAGAGCGCAGTAACTCCACCACAATTGCAATACAATTAGGAACTAACTAATTCCACAAATGCAATACAAAAACAAGAAAGCTCACTCATACAACACACAAATTCCTTCCTAAATGCACAATGGCCAACCCAACACTTACAAAAGACCCTTCCCCAAATTGCACATAATATTAATGTGGGTGTTAAATGGCCACGCACGAACACAAACCACCACTCCGCTGCCACACAATCAAATCCTCCATTCCCCTACTATACTGGTCTGTCACATTTTGGCTGCCTATGTATGTCGGTTCTCATTTGTCAAGCCACCACTGCTACTCCCACCCGTGCGGTTCGGTTCCCCGACTCTAGCTGCCAAAGCAAGAACTTCGGGGGACATTTCCCAGCTTCCACTTTTCCTTCCCCAGCTGGATCGCCTGGGGTGTATTCCAGCACGATCCACAGTTTCATCGACTGTAGTCCTTATATCTGGGGAAACTTCACCTAATTCACCATCCTTTAAATTTAAGCGATCATTGTTGTTAAGTTGCCCTTCGTAATGATCACCCCCAGCATTCATGTCTCCCCACACCGTTTTTCTGCCCATTTCAATGTCCTCCACAGCTTTTCCCATATTTGGGCTCATAAAACCTCCACCCCCTGACCGAGGAGGCAACCCAGGTTCCCTTGGCACCTTCGCCCTGAAATTGTTCTTGGACTGGGGAATGGTGGTACAAAATATTTCCTTGAAATTCTCAACCACTCCTTTGTTATAGGGGTTGGCTCGCCTATCATATCGGTACCGGAAATTCTCATATGTAGTCTGTAAAAACAACGCAAATAGATATAAGCTCCTGTTCATACTAAAAGATGAATCGTGTAGATATGAAAGTGTAAACTATAAGCTCCTGTAAAAACAACGCAAATAGTTCTGCACTAAAGGGTTGTGACATGTTGAGATGGATCTCTCACCTGATTTGTACTGATGAGATATAAATGGAAGGCCGTAAGACCACCAACAAACCACATTGATATGAAAGTGTAAACTATTAGGACAATAGAGGCTGGAGTTTTAATCATTGCTTTCCAAATTGTCGTGTCCTCTGTTCCCATGATCCTTCTAACGTAGACCCAGCAGAATGCAAAAACATATATACAAAGAAGGGTTGTGGAGAACACAAACATGAAGAAGAATCGATAATTTCTCTGCACCCAAATTAGTGAATGTTCAGATATATTTTCCATAGGCAACTGAGAATCCATCACATCAGCAACAGGTATATTCCATGCCAGTAAATGAAACAAAGCCAAATCAAGAACACATATTTAACCAGATAAGCTCAAGCACGTGATGTGAGCTACCTCCATATGCCAGTGACTGAATCATTTAATAGTCCACTTTCTTTGTTGATTCCAGGTGGAGACTTGTATATTTCAAATCTTGGGTATATTACTACAATTACCAATGTATGTATGCAGACATTCATGCATGTATATAGTTTGAAAGAATGCACATATTATGCGTGTGAGCGCCCAATGTGTCTGTTTGTCTCATTTCATATACATTGGCAGAGCAATCAGAAGGCATGAGTCTAATGAAAGAATTACTTACCAGCCCAATACACTGCCCAACCCAAGGACAGTGGTGATCGAATCTTTCTACGCAATTGTTGCATATTGAACAGTGGGAGCAGCGAGGAGGTCTATAAAGCATACAAGTATCACAATACTTGATCTTGACAGGGATTCCATTCACCTCTACTTCCTTGATGCGAGGCAAACGCAACTGTGGTGTTTGTCCAGCCCCACCCTCTACGTTCCCATCAAATCCTTCTGGCTCTGGGGGGTGTGTGTTACGGGGAATTATACCAGGATCTCTTCCGGAGGTTAGCAGGAGAAGAACTAAATCCTGAAAATAGATCATTGTGTCATTATATTTTCACACTGCAGATACATCAACATATCTAAAGTTATCACTATATCCACCTGCGACTTCCCAGGCCCAACTCTCAAATCTAGTAGAGATACAAACAATAAATAAATTTTAGAATAGGGTGCTTGTGGAGGCACAATTTTACTAGAAACTCCAGAACTTGTTACAAGTTACAACAACTCTACAAACCTAATTGATTATCACCTAATTGATTATCATTTACTTCTACAAAGACTCCTGTGAAGGGAAGAAAACTGACAATACCAAAGTAGATTCAATAACCTAGACTCATATTGAAGCCTGTCTATAGTGGTAAAGGTTTAAGACAGAGTAAATTCTACAACAACCTACAAACTGCATTGATAACAATCACTCATAGAAAGGGTATCATACTCAGAGGAAGCGATATGCTCCATGAGGACCCACTACCAACTTACACCAATCCATATCTCATAACAAGTTCAATCCTCCATAACTTACCATGTTCCCCACTAATCTCTGCGACAGAAACTAGCATGTTATAGTGTGAAAATTGTGAATCAGGACCCCACATTCTAAGATGATTCCACCAAATCAATAGTCCTGTTAGTAGCTTTCAACATAACATGCCAAATTGTCTGGCAAAATAAATTTTCCCATACACAAATAAGCGGTGTGTGATATAGAGAGAGAACTCACATAAACTGTGAATACCACAGCGACAACCATTATCAATATTCCCAAGTGATGTGAGAAATGGTCCATCAACTTTCTTGCAACAAAGATGCAGAAAATTGTGACAGGAGCAACAATTAGAAATATGGTCAGCCCCAGTGATCTTACATCTGGTCCGAAAATAAACCTTCCCTGAAGGAAAAATATCTGCAAAGAAGCAAAAATAACATATATGTAAGTTTTCATAATGCCATTCATACTCTTTTCAACCAAAATAATAATAATAATGCCATTCATACAAGGCAAGGTACTGCACTACAAGCAGCATCCAACAAGCCAAGCTTGGCATTCAAATACATGTAAAACATAAGCTCTATGCTTATCAATCTACAAACAATTGCCACCTATACTATAATTCCTTGTTAATGAACACAAAATGAGTCGACTTCATAATCATCCTTGTCTTTGTCTCGAATGTATAGGGTCATCCGTATCAATTCTTGTATTCCACTGTTTTCATTATATTCAAATTGCAACGTCTCTCATATGAAATCTAATTTTCTTACATCGTTTCCGTATTACTTCTAAACTTTTTCAAGAGGCAAAAGAAAAAATTTCATTCCTTGACGGTAACATCTATCCAAAAATAGATATAAAAACATACGACCAATAGTAGTGAGGTAACAACAATAATACCAATCACAATCACAATAATATAAAAATAGTAACCAACATTATCAATGAGAATTGTGCGACACAAAATCGTAATCCATCAAGTCCTAAAACTATAAATAGGGAGCCACTGAAATTATTCCGGAAAAAATCTAGCAAAAATAAAAAAGAAAAGGAAGAAAATATTATCAGGCTAAAGGGAGAAGAGGAAAAAGAGAATAAAAAGGAAACTGACATTGCTGCCTTTCCAATTTTGGTAGACCCGCAAATCAGTGGAGGCGCCGGCGGATCCGGAAGCCGGATCCGATCGCTGGGGCGGAGGCACCACGTACATCGCTTCCTCACCACCAACGCTCTCAGTTTCAGTCTGAGTTTCAGCTCAATAAGATCCTCCTCGCTCGATAGCCGATACAATGATGTCGACTCTCAGACCCTAAGGAAATATGGGAAGACCAAAAATGGAATGGAAAAAGGAGCTCGAGGGCTCTTTTGGGGCGGGCAAATGGGTCGGGTTCCGGCGAGCAGAGTGAATAGTTAAGGTTGGGCGACAAGGCATGCGGGTGGGGTTGGGGCAAAAGGGTTTTTCTTCATCCTTTTGGAGGTGGCTTTGCCTTGGCTTATTACTTTGGGTGGGCTAAAGCAGCAGAGGTTCTATCACTGTTGTGTGTATGTGCTTTACAGGGGGGATCGGCTGATGTGGCGGGCTCTGATTGGGTGAAGAGGCTGGGGATGGAGCGGCTGGCTGTGGTGGGTGAGAACCCAGTCCCAGTCCCAGTGTGCGTTTTTTTAAGTTTTTAAGTTTTTTATTTTTTGTTTCTCCCCAACATAGGAATGTGACCAGCCCTTCCTTCTAGTCGGGTTTTGAACCCTTTCCTCTGTGTTTGGTTGAGGTATAAATAACTTTGAGTTTAGCTGAATTTGGTATCTAACTATATCTAAACAATAAATAAGTGGTTTTTCAATCCCATATTTTCCACTTTAATTACTTCTGGACAGATACTTACAAATTCTGTAATAG